GAAAAAAGCACTGGAAATTAGTTTTATTACACACACACACACACACACACACACACACACACACACACACAGACACAATCCTATAATACAATGGATTCAGAGCTCAGGCTCTAGAGTCAGAAAGTCCCGAGATCAAATTTTAGTTCTATCACCAGCATTTTGACCTTGGAAAAGTCATCTCATTTTCTTAAGCATCATGTCCGTATATGTAACCCTAGAAACCAATCTTAAAGTTTTCAGAATATAAAAGAAGTGTCTATGCAGTTTTCCATGTAATGTCTGCAAAATGGAAGCTCTCTGATTTATAGACTAGCCTACAAACAAAAGCTTCAAGATGAACTTGGAACTTACCAAGTTCAGATTATCTTGTATCTTTGATAACAGAATGATAGGGGATCTGGTTAAATAAAGAAAATCTGGTTAAATAAATTAAATTGTGCACTGCTCTGAATAAAGTATAGATTTTCCTGAACACAGGATGTATTTTGTAAAATTCCTCTCTGAGACAGGTATCAGAAGAAAATCTCCTCAAAAAGTCAAGGATACACTAAGTTCATTACATTTTTTTACTCACCAATACAGTTAATAAAAGACTTGCTGAAAATCCCTGTCAGAGACCTAACCACCCTTCTTCCAGAATCAGTAACAGTTGTTCATAAAGTAAAGCAGTCCAACTATACCAGGGTAATTAATCTATTGTAGCACTCCAGACAAAAGCAAGAGAGAAGCAGAGAGGAAATTTCAACTGGAAAATATTTTGACATAATTGACCCAGATGACAAACTAAACTGAAGCATATGTCAAGTACTAGTCTGCACAAAAACACACATACATGCCAAAGGATGTTAAGGGCCCAGACAATTGGCCAAGGTGAAGTCTTAACTCTGAGTAGAGTGTATATCTCTTAATCACTGTGTAGAAAAGATGCACAGAGGAAGAGAGAGGGTACTTTCATTTCAGAGAAAGAAATGTTTAAAGTCTTTCAATTCTTTAACTTGGGAATTAAAGATAATTATCACTGCGAAAAGTATTAGGGAGCTTCTCCTTTCAATGTATTAAAACACTTGTGTTTCCCAACAAGCTAGAAAATCCCTATGTCTAACTACTTTTTTCTGATCACTTTAAAAACGTATAAGACCTGCTGTAAGCTCACACTTAAATTATAACACTGAAAACCCTTAGAAAACAAACATGTATGTTGGAGCCAAAAGGCAACTTTTTCCTCATAGAAAGATAAAACTAGAAATAATACAATATGAATTCCCAAATGTTTTTACTTCATCTCATACGTAAGCTATATGACAAAGCTACTTTAACTCTTCTCACAAAATCAGACCAAGATGAAAGGACCAATGAAAATGCTAAGAAAAGCAAATTAGTTTTTCATGTTCCCAGCTTTTACTTTTGAAAAATTTAAGCATATAAGAAAGCTGAAGAAAATGGTAAGATGAACACCCATCTTCATTAAATATATCCTCCAACCAAATTTAAAAATAATACTGTGAAACTACACTAAAAAACTCTACACTGAATAAAAATCCACATTAAAAAAGTTGTAAGTAGAATATGATAATCTATAAGTAAGTATGAACTCTAAGAAAATTTCTTCTTTTTTTTTAAAAATATATTTTATTGACTTTTTACAGAGAGGAAGGGATAGGGATAGAGAGCTAGAAACATCGATGAGAGAGAAACATCAGTCAGCTGCCTCCTGCACACTCCCTCCTGGGGATGTGCCCGCAACCAAGGTACATGTCCTTGACCAGAATCGAACCTGGGACCCTTGAGTCCGCAGGCCGATGCTCTATCCACTGAGTCAAACCGGTCAGGGCAGAAAATTGCTTAACATCACTTTTTGTGCGTGTGACCTAAAAAACTAAAAACTTAATTAAAAAGCCGAACACTTTTGGCTGGATAGCTCAGTTGGTTAGAGCAGCGGTCACCAACCAGTGGTCTACGGACTACTGGTGGTCCCTGAGGTCCGAAAGGTTGGCGACTGCTGGGTTAGAGCATTGTCCCAATACGCCAAGGTTGTGGGTTTAATCCCTGGTCAGGGCACATACAAAAATCAATCAACGAATGCATAAAATAATGGAACAACAAAACTAATATTTCTCACTCTGTCTCTCTCTCAAATAAATCCTATATAATAAAAGCCTAATATGCTAAGTGCCCGGTCAACTGTTATGCCATTCAACCAATCAAAGCATAATATGCTAATGATATGCTAAGGCCGCTCAACCGCTCACTATGATGTGCACTGTCCACCAGGTGGCAAACACTCTGATCGGTAGGTTAGCTTGCTGTTGGGGTCCGGCCGATCGGGACTAAGCAAGACAGGCCAGACAAGCCCTGGAGCCTTCTGCAGTCCCTCCCTGGCTGGCCAACCTCCCACATCTCTCCCCAGCCCCAATCATGCACTAGTGGGGTCCTTGGCCTGGCCTGCACCCTCTTGCAATCCAGAACCCCTCAGGGGATGTCGGAGAGCAGTTTCGGCCCAATCCCACAGGCCAGGCCAAGGGACCCCACTGGTGCACAAATTTGTGCACTGGGCCTCTAGTAAATAAATAAATGAAATTAAACAAACAAAAAAGCTGAACACATGGTATCTAAGATAAACCTTTCAAAGAACACTTCGAATAATTTTCTCACATTGGAAAAAGACAAAAGTGAAACTATCTCAAGTTATGAAAAATTTCATATTCAAAAACAGTAGTAAATATATTTTTGAGTAACCATAGAATAGGCCAGAAAGCAGTCCTGGTAGCATCTGGAATGTTATGTTAGGTCATGAAAAAGTGAGATTCAAGTGCAAATAACTATGAGCTAAGTCCTTGTAAAATAAGGTTCAGATTTTGAATAGACAAGAAAAATTCAAAGTTTATCATATGTAATTGTGCAATTACATGACAATGTAGGCATAGAAAAATGGAGGGGAAAGGAAAGAGTAGAAAATGTCGGTAAAATGGCCATGTCTGCTACCTCAAGGTAGGAGGACAGGAACCACAGAAAAAGCAACTGGAAATTTCAAAATAATTCATTACTCCAACATTGAAAAATGTGGTTGTGATTCAGCATAACATGGTTTCCTCTCCAAATCTTCATGATCCAGTATCTTCCACACAAACAAAGGTAAGTATGCAAACAGTAGGGATTATGAAGATACTGATGCTTTAAAAGTAAATAGGTTAAACGTATCTAAATATCATTCCACAAAAAATTTTAAGAAAAGTAAACTAAGCCCTAACTGGTTTGGCTCAGTGGATAGAGCGTCGGCCTGCAGAGTGAAGGGTCCCGGGTTCGATTCTGGTCAAGGGCATGTACCTTGGTTGCGGGCACATCCCCAGTGGGGGGTGTGCAGGAGGCAGCTGATCGATGTTTCTCTCTCATCGATGTTTCTAACTCTCTATCCCTCTCCCTTCCTCTCTGTAAAAAATAAATAAAATATATATATATATAAAAAAGAAAAGTAAAATAAGCCTTATACTTTCAAGCTGCCAAGGATTTCAATGTTCTGAGACAGAAAATGTATTTTGTTATGAACAACATCTCTGGTGATATAAAAACATTATCTTTTTTTTGTTTTCCAAAATATTATCATATGCCTGGCCGGTGTGGCTCAGCGGCTGAATGTCAACCTATGAACCAGGAGGTCACGGTTCAATTCCTGGTCAGGGCACAGGCCTGAGTTGTGGGATCAATCCCCAATAGGGAGAGTGCAGGAGGCAGCCAATCAATGATTCTTATTCATCATAGATGTTTCTATCTCTCCCTCTCCCTTCAACTCTGAAATCAATAAAAATAAATTTAAAAAAAAAACAAAAAAAACATTATCATGTACCTCTTCTGAAAGGAATTTGCTATTTAAAATATTTAAATACATATTTTTGTGGTAAAGTCCACAGAAATGATTTTGAGGTTTTATGTATGTATATTTAGTAACTGGATATGTAATCACATTTCATAGAAATTAATATCTGGTCCTAAAGTAAATGTAAAACTACATATCAAATAGGATTATCTATCCCAAGTAATAGGACAAGGCAGTGAACAAATGTGTGTGTGTGTGTACTTCAGAGTAGAATGTACATACATTCTGACTGCAAGTGTTATTTTAAGGAACCTAGTTTTACCATATAAAGTATCTGGTTTCTTTGAAAATTCTATGTATGTAAATATCAAATTCACAATCATCCTATATATCCTATAGAATAAAAGCCTAATATGCAAATTGTCCCCTCGACCGGGAGTTTGACTGCTCGCGATGACATGCAATGACCACCAGGGGGCGGCACGGAACATGGCAGGTGTCGGCGACAGGGCACCGGCAGCAGGCCCCGATGGGCCCCGATGAGAGCGGGACCGTGGCGGGATGGTGGAGCAGGTGAGTGGGAGGTGCCAGGCCAAGACAGGTGTGAGCAGGGGCCCAACAGTCCACCAATCGCCCTGCAGACAGCGACCAGCGGTGGGGGGGAAGTTCCCAGGCGCTGAGGGAGCCAGGCAGGGGCTCAATGACTCAGGGAGACAGGGGGCGCACTGGGGCCCGGGGGTCCAGGTGTTGCCCAGGGCCCGGAGGTCAGCTGGGACCTGCCCTTCTATACCAGATTGCTCGTGCTTCGATCACCAGCCAGGCCTAGGGACCACACCCGTACAAATTTCATTCACCGGGCCCCTAGTATTTATTTATAATTAAATCTTAGATGAACAAAAGTGATCAGTATAATTTAAAAATGTAAAAACTAAAGAAGACTGGTTTCTATCACACAAGTGTAAGAAATACTGAGAATCAAGAAACTAAATAAAGCAGTCGTCTACTGTCCACCTGATTTGCTGATGAAACTAATTTATTTATCTCTCATCTCCCTATACTACATTGCTATCAAACTCAAATCAGCTACTCCTTAAGTTGCCTTCTCATGTTCTCTGAAGGGCAGGAATGAGAGGATGGGTTCTAAGGGGACTAGAATAGAAATTAGCAATTTAAAAACTTAATGTCATACCTTTATTGCTAGGAAATTCAGTCCACTTTCATTGGCCAAAGCCTTTGCAATCATCGTTTTAGAGCAACCAGGTGGCCCGTACAGAAGAACTCCTTTAGGTGGCTGAATACCCATTCGGGTGAAAGACTCCGGATGTTTCAAGGGCCATTCCACAGCCTGTTTCAATTTCAGTTTGATATTTTCCAGTCCTCCTATATCTGACCAGGATACCTGCAAAACAGAACATGTTCTAAACATAAGTTTGCCAGAACAGAGAACTTAAAAAAAAATCAACAAAAGAAGTACAAGAGAAGGAACAGACCATTTAAAAATCAGGAGGATCCTAAAAGAAGTTCCAACAATATGAAGATTAATTAAAAGTACATAACATGTAATCTGCATATTATAGAAATACTACAGAAAAAAAATGTTTCTGCTTGCGAATCTTATATAAATAACTGCTTAAATGATTGAACACACTGGTAAGTCTATCTTCTATTCTAGATGGCTTTTAAAATTAGGTTTCATCTGTTTGCAAATGGTTTGTATTAGTGACCCAAAGTCTTATCTATACACCTAATTTATTTTCTTTCTTTTTCAGCAAATACTTGAAAATATATTTCTGTAGGTACTTATGGAATATATAATCTTTTCTGTCTGGCATACTGATGAAATATCCTCAAATTTTTGTTCCTTTTCCTCAAATATGAAATGCCCCCCAAACAAGAGAGCTCCTTACATATTATTTACTTAATATGCATTAAGAACTAATTAGGAAATAGAAAAATAAAACATGAATAACTTTAAAGAACTTAACAACTACCAGTAACATGCCCAGAAATAGCCATAGTACAATGGAAAGGATCCTAAGCACAATAGCAAAGAAACAGAAAAGGCCTTTGAGAGTTCCCAGGAAGGAAAGATTCCTTCCAGTTAGCAGGCAAATCTGAAATTCAACTCTTGAAGCCTAGATGAGATCTGGAAATGTGAAAATACGATAAAAGACTCAGAAGAAAGTATGACAAGGATAAGAGAAAAAAAATTTGAGGGTGGGAAGTAAAATTAGAAAAGTTAAATTGAGGCCATATAGTAGTAGAGGAGCCTGAAGACTAGATGAAGGAGTTTAAGAATCTCTTTATTCACATAAGAAGTCTTTGAAGGTTTTAATCTAGAAAGTGATGTGGTCTGATCTGTGCATCAGGAAGATTCTCTGACAAAAGTCATTTGAGGATAGAGTGTGCAGGAGACTAATTACAGACCAACCACAAACATCCTTAAAAACAAAAAAAGAGGCTTAAACTAAGGTGACCACCTGTAGATAATGAAGATACGCCAGAAAGACAATGCAGGTCTACAGTGGAGGGTTCTGAGGGTGGAATAAGAAAGAGGGAGAATTGAAAAGAAAAGATGTCAAGACAGGTTGATAGAATATGGACCACAGAAAAATGATCTTCAGGAGGAAAAATAAACAAGATAGATTTTTTTCCCCACAGTTAAATGATATTCGAAAGATGAAAACTGAGTATTTTGAATGTAAGCATCACGAATGGAGCACTGTAAAGAGGACAGGCCTGGAATGTCAGATTTCAGAAATCTCTACATACAAACAAAAGAATCCATGAGATCCATTAAAATTGCCAACCATGAAAAGAGAGATGTGGGTATTGGGCACCACCTGCATTTAAGAGGCAAGAGGAAATAAGAAGAAGAAAAGTCAGAAAACAATCTACAAATCTAAGAAAACAGAAGGTTGTTGTTGTTTTTTTGTTGTTAATATCACAAAAAGATTACTTTTCCCAAATGAATTTGCATGTTATGGTTTTTTGTCCACAGAACCAGGAGAACGCTGTATTACCAACCATAATCCTGAGATTATATAATTTTTTTTCTAAATTGCTTTCCTGATTTATTTTATAAAGTAAGAATTATTGGATTAAAAGGCATGGACATTTTTAAGGTCTCATGATACACAATGCCAGTTTATTATCCCAAACACTTCATCCATTTCAACAATAATTAATTAGATTTGGAGAGGTAGTGAAAAAGAATATGGAATCAAGGGTAACAACTAGGACTCAGACTTTGGGCAAGTGTATAATTGAGTTACATTAAAAGACAAAAACAAAAAAATGTTTGGAAATTAAGGAATTTGTTTTCAATTATTGCACTGCAGTTGGAATTTACGAGTAAAATAAATTAAATAAACTTTAAGAAAAGTATCTTCTATGTGCTGGACTTGTCTTAAGAACTGTAAAGGCACAAGGATAATAGTCTCAAAATTTTGTAATCTAGAGAGGAATAAGAAAAGTAGCCTAAAAGACACAGCCTTTGTCTAAAGACATATTTTTCTTAAAGTTTATTTAATTTATTTTATAGGTATTATTTAAAATATCTTTCCACAAATTAATACAAAAACTTCTAAAAAATATTTAAAATGGTTTTACAGCGATTTGGAAATTGTTGCACATATGTAAGACATGGCCAACCTGTCAGAATGTGAAAATAATAGTAGCAATTCCCATCTCATATGATTATAAAGATAATTGATATATAATAAATACAGCATATAAGAAATTATAAAGGACAATAGAAGAATTATCTGTTTTCCTACCACCTAAAAGTAACCATTGTTAATACTTACAACCTTTCAAATACATGTGCGCGAACCGTGGGTGTATGTGTTTTCAATGACATCATAATGTATTCACAATTTTATATTCATACATTTTTCATATTCATACAATTCCCAGGATTATTGTGAGAATTAAACAGTACACTATCTATTAAATTAGCTGCACTTTTAGCCAGGCACACAGTACCTATTTAACACATGCTAGGTATTATTTAAAGGTCTGAAACATGATTATAATAGTTATATTCTGAAGGACTAGTGACAAAAGATAAGGATTAAGCCATCACATTTGTAGTTCCATGAGCAATATTTAATTACCAAATTTTTCTATTCTTTTTCCCTTTGTCTGATTATTACATTTGTTTAACTAAAAGCAAACAAGTTTTAAATTTTAATTCAGCACCTGGGTGCCAAATAAATGAAGTTTTTCTATAGCTAAGATATCAACTCAAAAATAAATATAAATCAGCTTAAAAAGCTTTCAATTGCACGGAAGAGTCTTAAACACAGAAAGTCATGGGAAAAGTTAGTTTGTAAGAGAATAAACTCCAGCATGAAATCATAAAATCCTAGAACTAGAACAGGAATTCAAAACTAGTTGGTTCACTCTCCCATCTTCAGTCAGTATTTCATCTTTCAACTTCTCTCATCTTTCAACAAATACTATTTTATGCTCTTTTTAAAAAATTCTACAACTCTCTCTTTTTACTAAGTTACTATATCATAACTGCCAGAAAATTATTTCTACAGCCTAACCTAAATCACTCCTGATAATAGTTGGGTCCTTTCTTTCTATTTTGTCCTAATGAAACAGTGAACAGCTGCTCACACATGGCTTTATAACTCTGAATTAGTAATAAAGTTAGAAGTGAAGGAACAGCTGTCAAACAAGCAGAGACAGAGCAGTGAGATAAATTTCCCAAGGAAAACGACCCCCCCACCCCCAACATCTTATAGTACTTTCTGGACAAGAATCCAACAATACACACAAAAAACCTCAACTCAAACTACACACCCATAGCAGCCAAAAGACCTGATGATCAGGTTAAAAAAGAAAGGAAAAAAAAACACACTTTTATGGACAAGTTCCAAGAGGACAAAATAAAAATTAATGAACTCGATTGCAGACATTGGGAGAATTACTATGAGGGAGGAATTCAGTAGTTCCAGAGGGGCTGACAGTGTCTTTATATATCTGTGAGTCCTCTTATTTGCTAGGTGCCAAGTTTTACACTGCCAGGAACAAAAATTCTTTTTAAAGTGTTATTTTTATCGAAAATATTGCAACTTTTCATTTTGTTCTTTCATGCTAACAAGTTCTAACATAAGGACAACAAGCCAGGCAGAAGCAAGTGTTTTGGTACCTGTTCCAAATTCTCTGCTGGGCCATACAATAGCTTTTTAACAATTCAAATGTTTAAAGTACATTGATTTTGTTTTGAAATCGTAAACATACCAAATTTCTAAAGATACTACATAATGCAGAAAGAAGTAAGTTGAGAAAATCTAACCTCCAAGATCCAAAAGGAAAAACAAGCAAAAGATTTCCATAAAGCAAAATTAGGGAGCAGCAATGTTCAAATGTGTTCTTAGGTCTAATTGAAAATAAGTGAAAGCCTCTAGCTTTATATAGTAAAAAGACAAGTATTTTCCCCTATGCTTTAAAAATGTATTCTTTGGAGAATTCTTAAAAAAAACAAGTCAAAGTTCCAGTTCTACTATAGGGTCCCAAACCATCTACACTGCCAATCCCCAATTGATTAAAAATAAAAACTTTATTCAAAATTCAAACCCCAACTACATGAGGAGTCTGAAAAGTCAAGGGTGGGACATGAGGCAAGTAAAAACATGTAGCAGTACCCTGCACAGAGGGTGGGAGGGGCTGAGTGTGCTATTTTGTCCTTGTCTTTTCTCTCTGGACTCAGCTTTTCCCCTTTGCCTGTTTCCCTTCCATTTTGCATAACAATGTCACAGGTAAGAGCACACGGAGCTAAAAAAGTGGATGAGAAACAATGTAAGAAACTGTACACCAAAACTTCCCCACTAATTGCAAATTGCCACTGATCTGGGTGACCTTATTCTTTAATAAATCATATTAAGCACCTCAATAAAACATTTAAAAAAATATGAGAGCCAGATGTTCCTATTAATTCCTAATTTATAAGGGAAAACATTAAGATAAAAAAAAATGAATTACTCAAGTAAAAAAAAGCACATACCTCAAGGAACAGGGAAAACATGACCAACTTAAAGACAAATATTTCATAATCAGTTTAATGATTATATTATAATCTGAACTTAATTTCTAAAATATCACTATATATTACCATCGAACTTACTATGAGCTGTTCTCAGAGAGCTGGCTATGTATGAAGTCAAACCTTATCTACACATATATTATTATCTAAATAAGCTTCCCTTAGATCACAAACTTAAAATGGTTAATTCAGCCTTAAAATGGTTAAACATTTCCAAAATGAGCTTTTAAAAAACTACTTTTGCCAGATGAACAAGTACAGGGGGAAAAAAAATCTGATAAAAAAAATGGAAACTTTAAACAAGAATGAAAAAAAAAAGAAAAACAGCAGTAATAATTGAA